TTAACCAGCAGGAAGTTTCTGGCTAAGCCTTTGTGCTGTGCCTTCCGCTAAAATGTACTGTGGGGTCAGCACTTCGCTTTGGATGTGTCCTAAAGGCCTCTCACATTTTAGAAGTTTCATGAATCAAAACTGGGGTTCAAAACCCTGCTCTGTTTGCAGTTGTTGGCCCTGAAATGATACACATTGATGAAATGACTTCCTCCTTTGGTTAAGGAGACAGCCGACAAGAAAAGCAGGCAAATAGTGTTTACTGGAATTGAAGCAGGTCGGAGTCAGAAATTGTAGAAACGTCAGGGAGAATGAGAACAGTAAGTGTTTACGTTGTACTGACCATCCTGTTCTAAGCACTTACCCCTCATACAACACTATGGGGTAGGTGCTATTATTGACCGTATTTGATATATGAAGAAACCAAGGTACTGAGAAGTAACTTGCCCATGATCACACAGTTACCAATTGTTCAGGCTACAGAGGTCAAAATTTTCTCCAGGATACCACAGCAAATAACATTTGTACAGCTCTGTACAATTTTCTAAGAATACATGTCAGATCCTCATAAAGTCACGTTTTACAGCTGAAGAAATGAGCCTTATAAGAAAACTTAACGAACATGCGTAAGTCAGTGTTGAGCAATTAAAGGTATGGGCTCTAGAGTCAGATCCCCTGGGTTGGAAGCCTCTCTACCACTATGTGACCTTGGGCAAGTCACACAACTTCGCTGAACCTCAGTCTTCTCCTCTGTAAATGTACACCAGTGTTGTTTTGAAGTAATGTATATAAGATATTAGCATATAATTCTTAGTATTATCAAGACTTTCTAAGCAGAAAATGAAACTAAGTCTGAATTGTAAATTTTTTTTTAAAGAAAAGGAAATATCCTTTCTTATTGAGAGGAGAATGAGAAAGCAGATACCATATTTCAATGATTCAATTCCTTAGGTGGATCCTCCTTGAGCTCCACGGTGCAATTCCACCTGACCCTCAAGGATGTGAACGACAACCCGCCACGGCTGGTCAAGGAGTACACAGGCTTGTTCTTCTGCTATCCCCCTAAAGCACCCGGAAGTCTCATTTTTGAGGCCACTGATGATGATCAGCAGTCATTTCAGGGTCGACAATTTACATTTTCCCTTGGCAATGAAAGCTTACAAAAAGACTGGGAAGTTTCCAAAATCAATGGTGAGTTGTCAAAAGAACATCGAGAAAAACACTGATGGGCGATGGAATGAGTTTTTATTTGCCTTGGTATGCACGCAGCACTCAACACAGAGCTTTCTTCCATGCTCCTGGAAGGAAGTTCATGCTGTGGAAACTTGCACAGGCAAGCTCTCCAGAGGATTGAAAGCCCCCAGGGTTTGGAGGAAAGAAAGATTGTTAATACACAACATCTCTCTTAGTGTACATGAATAGTTGGACAATCAGAGTAACATTGCAAAATTTCCAATGGCAGCTGCGAAACAGGTTTCATCATGATTTTTAAAAAATAAATTTATTTATTTTATTTATTTTTATTTTTGGCTGTGTTGGGCCTTCCTTGCTGCGCGGGCTTTCTCTAGTTGCGGCGGAGGGGGCTACTCTTGGGTGCGGTGCGCAAGCTTCTCATTGCGGTGGCTTCTCTTGTTGCTGAGCATGGGCTCTAGGCATGAGGGCTTCTGTAGTTGTGGCACACGGGCTCAGTAGTTGTGGCGTGCGGGCTCTAGAGTGCAGGCTCAGTAGTGTGGCACATGGGCTTAGTTGCTCCACGGCATGTGGGATCTTCCTGGACCAGGGCTTGAACCCGTGTCCCCTGCATTGGCAGGTGGATTCTTAACCACTGCGCACTAGGGAAACCCGCTCATCATGATTTTTAAAAATTGACTTACAATTGACTTACAATTAACAGCACCACCACCCCCAAAGTTTTATTCATGCTCTGCTGCAATCCCTATCTTCCACCCCACACTGTCAATCTCTCACCCCCAGGTAATCACTGATCTGCTTCCTGTCACTATAGATTCGTTTGCATTTTCAAGAATTTTATCTAAATAAAATAACAGCATGTACTCTTTTTTTTGTTTGGTGAATATCACTTAGTATACATATTTGGGGATTTCACCATGTTGTTGCATATATCAACACCTCACTCCTTTATATTGTAGAATAGTATTCCATTGTATGACGATATCATGATTTATTATTCATTAACATATTGATTATTACTTAAATTGCTTCCAATTTTTGCTATTTCAAATAAAGTTGCTATGAACATTTGTGAACAAGTGCTTTGTAGGAGCTATGCTTTCATTTTTCTTGGCTAAATACCTACAAGTCATCATATGGTAGCTATACAGTCAAATTTTTAAGAGAATATCAAACTGCTTCCCAAATAGTCTGTAACATTTTACATTCCCACCAGTGAATGAGAATTCTAGTTGCTTTGTATTCTTCCCAATGCTTGCTATGCTCAGTCTTTTCAATTTTAGCCATTGTAGTGGGAGTGTAGTATTTCATTATGTTGTTTTTTTAATATGGTTATATGAGTTGTTAACATATTTATTAACTTTTTTTTTAACGTCTTTATTGGAGTATAATTGCTTTACAATGGTTTGTTAGTTTCTGCTTTATAACAAAGTGAATCAGTTATACATATACATATGTTCCCATATCTCTTCCCTCTTGGGTCTCCCTCCCTCCCACCCTCCCTATCCCACCCCTCTAGGTGGTCACAAAGCACTGAGCTGATCTCCCTGTGCTATGTAGCTGCTACCCACTAGCTATCTATTTTATGTTTGGTAGTGTATATATGTCCATGCCACTCTCTCACTTTGTCCCAGCTTACCCTTCCCCCTCCCCATATCCTCAAGTCCATTCTCTAGTAGGTCTGTGTCTTTATTCCCGTCTTACCCCTAGGTTCTTCATGACCTTTTTTTTTTTTTTAGATTCCATATATATGTGTTAGCATATGGTATTTGTTTTTCTCTTTTAGCGTACGGAATTTGTTTTTCTCTTTCTGACTTACTTCACTCTGTATGACAGACTCTAGGTCCATCCACCTCACTACAAATAACTCAATTTCATTTCTTTTTATGGCTGAGTAATATTCCATTGTATATATGTGCCACATCTTCTGTACCCATTCATCTATCGATGGGCACTTAGGTTGATTCCATGTACTGCCTATTGTAAATAGAGCTGAAATGAACATTTTGGTACATGACTCTTTTTGAATTATGGTTTTCTCAGGGTATATGCCCAGGAGTGGGATTGCTGGGTCATTATGGTTTTAATTTATATTTTCTTAATGACTAATGGTGTTGAACATCTTTTCATATGCTTATTTGCCATCCATATATCTTCACTGGTATAGTGTCTCGTCAAATATTGTGCCTGCTTAAAATATTTAGCAGTTTGGCTTCTGTTGTTGAGTCATAAACATTCTTTATGTAGTCTAGATTCAAGTTCTTTGTCAGATATATGTTTATAAATATTTTTTCCCAGGCCATGGCTTACATTTTTATTTTGTAACAGTGCCTTTTGAAGAGCAAATTAAATTTTTTTTTTTTTCTTTTTGCGTTACGCGGACCTCTCACTGTTGTGGCCTCTCCCGTTGCAGAGCACAGGCTCCAGACGCGCAGGCCCAGCGGCCATGGCTCACGGGCCCAGCCGCTCCGTGGCATGTGGGATCCTCCTGGTTCATGCCCCTGCGTCGGCAGGCGGCCTCTCAACCACTGCGCCACCAGTGAAGCCCACCCCTAAATTTTTTTGATGACATCTGATTTACTGACTTTTTTCTTCCATAATTTGTGACTATTTTGTGTATTGTTTAAGAAAGTTTTGCCAAGGTCACTAAATTTTTCTATTTTTTTTTCTCCCAGAGGTCTTATAGTTTTAGCTTTTACAGTTACGGCTATCTAATTGTTTAAACACTATTTATTGAAAATATCATTTTCACATTGAATTGTCTTGGCAGCTTTGTCAAAAATCAAGTGACCACATATATATGAGTCTATTTCTGGACTTTCTTTTCTGTTTCATTGATCTCTTTGTCTTTATAGCAATACTCTAATGTTTTGATTACTGCAGCTGAATAATAAGACTTGAAATCAGGTAGTGTAAATGTCCTCACTTTGTTCTTTTTCAAAATATTTATTTTGCATTTCTATATAAATTTTAGAATTGAACTTGTCTATTTCTACCCAAAAAACCTATGCAGATTGTGATTGAGATTGTGTGAATCTATAGCTGAATTTGGGGGAGAATTTACATCTTAACAAAATTGAATTTTCCAATCCATGAATATGATTATGTCTCCACTTATTTAGGTCTTCTTTACTTTCTCTGAGCAATGTGTTTTAATTTTCAATGTATGGTTCTTATAGAATTTCCCCTAAGCATTTCATATGTTTGTGCTATTTTGGATATTTAAAAATTTTAAATTTATAAGTAATTCCAGGATGTGGAAATATAATTGATGATTTTTATATATTGATCTTGTAGTCTATAACATTGCTGACCTCACTTGTAAGTTCTCTCTCCCTCTTTTTCTTACGTTTTCATAGATTTTCTACATAGACAGTCATGTTGTCTGTGAATTATAGGTTTTATTTCCTTTCCAGTCTGGATGGCTTTTATATCTTTAGCTTGCTTTCTTAGCGGCTAAAATCTTCAGGACAATGTTGAATGAAGGTAGTGAGAGCAGAAACAACTTGGCTTGTTCCTAATCTTAGGGAGATGGCATTCATAGCCTTTCACCATTAAGTATAAAGTTAGCTACAGGTTTTTTGTAGATACCCTTTATCAGACTAAGGACTTTATCTTCTATTCTTAACTTGCTGAGAGGTGTTTTTGGGGTTTTTTAAATTAGGAATGGGTGCTAAAAATTTTAGGTGTATTTTTCTGCATCTATTGAGATGATTGTATGGTTGATTTGGGGTTTTGGTGGTTGTTGTTGTTGTTTTTTTTGTGGGGGGGCGTACATGGGCCTCTCACTGTTGTGGCCTCTCCCGTTGCGGAGCACAGGCTCCGGACGCGCAGGCTCAGCGGCATGGCTCACGGGCCCAGCCACTCCGTGGCATGTGGGATCTTCCCGGCCCGGGGCACGAACCCATGTCCCCTGCATCAGCAGGCAGACTCTCAACCCCTGCGCCACCAGGGAAGCCCTGGTTGTTGTTGTTTTTGTCTCTTAATTGGAGAAGTATATCAATCAACTTTTGGGTGTTAATTCAGTCTTCTCTTCCTGGGATAAAGCTTACTTGGTGGTGAAATATTAGCATTTTTATATGCGGTTGGATTTGATCTGCTAAAATTTTAAGGATATTTCTATCTATATTCCTAAGGGATATTGGTCTGTATTTTTCTCTTCTTGCAGTGTCTTCATCTGATTTGGGTATCAGAGTAATGCTGGCTTCGTAGAATGAGTTAGGAAGGGTTCTACCTCTTCAATTACCTGGAATTTTGTGTAAAATTGTTTTTTATTTCTTCCTTAATGTTTGATAGAATTCACCAGTGAAGGCTTCTGGCCCAAAGTTTTCTACAGTAGGACTCAGTGCCTACTGTAGTCCTTACCCTCTTTCAACTGGTGTCCTTACCATGAGTTAACTACAAATTCAATTTCTTTAATAGATATAGGGCTATTCAAGTTATAGATTTATTTTTGGTTGAGCTTGTTAGTTTGTATCTTTCAAATAATTTCTCTATTTCATTTGATTTGTCTAATTTATTGGCACAAAGTTATTCATAATGTTATTTTATTATTCTTTTAATATCTGCAGAATATGTAGTGATATCACCTCATTCTGATATTGGAAAAATTTGCCTCTATTTTGGTCCTAATCAAGCTGGCTAGAGGTTATTAATTTTGTTGATATGTTCTCAATGAACCAGCTTTTGGTTTCATTGATTTTGCTCTATTTTTTTGTTTTGTATTTCATTGTTCAGATCATTTTTATTTCCTTTATTCTTCTTATGTTGTATTTAGCTTGTTCTTCTTGTTCTATTTTTATTTAGATGGAAGCTGAGGCAATTGAGAACTTTTTCTTTGTTAACATAGGCATTTGGTGCTATAAATTTATCTCTTAGTGTCATGTTAGCTGTATGCTATAAAGTTTGATATGTTTTCATTTTCATTCAGTTCAAAATACTTTCTAATTTCCCTTTAGATTTCTCCTGTGACACATGGGTTATTTAGAAGTGGGCTATTTAGTTCTTATATATGTGGGGATTTCCCACATATTCCTGGTTACTGATTTCTAATTTAATTCTGTAGTGACCAGAGAACATTTGACTGGAATACTTTTTTTTTTTTTTTTTTTTTTTTTTTTTTTTTTTTTTTTTTTTTTTTTTTTTTTTTTTTTTTTTTTTTTTTGGGCTGTCCGCGGGCCTCTCACTGCCGTGGCCTCTCCCGTTGCGGAGCACAGGCTCCGGACGCGCAGGCTCAGCGGCCATGGCTCACGGGCCCAGCCACTCCGCAGCATGTGGGATCTTCCTGGACCGGGGAACGACCCCGGGTCCCCTGCATCGGCAGGAGGACTCTCAACCACTGCACCACCAGGGAAGCCCTGACTGGAATACTTTTAAACTTATTGAGACTTTTTTCTTTCAGTACTTTAAAGGTATTTCTCCTTTGTGTTCTGGATTGTATTGTTTCTTCTTCGTTCCTTTGAATGTCATGTGTCTTTTTTCTCTGGATGTCTTTACAATTTTCTTTTTTACTAGTTTTAAGTAATTTGAGTATTATGTGCCTTGGTGTAGTTTTGTTCGTTTTTCTTTTTCCTAAGATTTGTCTGTCTTCTTGGATCTGAAGATTTAGACTTTTCATCAAATTTGGAAAAAAGTTAGCAGTTATTTCTTCAAATATGTTTTCTCTTTCTAATTCAGTATTTGTGGCTACTATATGGAACATAACTACCGCGAGCAATGACAACCTACTATATTTAGTATTCATTTCTACAGAGAAGTCATGAATTGAGAACTTGAAGGATGCTTTAGCATCCTTTCTGACATTATGGAGGGTACCTGTGGAGTGGTAATACTTTTGGTAGTTTAACTCATACTTATATCTAACCATTTCCTAGTCAACTTTAGTATTATATGATACAGAGATGAGCTTTATTCCTGCTCATCCAGGGGCCTGCAGTTGTGTTCTCATGTCAGTCATTTTTTCCGTATTCTGACAGGAACTCATGCCAGCCTCTCCACCAAGCACACGGGCTTTGAGGAGAGAGTTTACCACGTCCCAGTCCGCATCAATGACGGCGGTTGGCCACCCTTGGAAGGGACTGTCTCTTTACCAGGTAGATATTTTGCTGCAGGCAACTTGGGATAATGTCTGTCAATATGGTAGCTTGTAGGAATTCTTGTCTTTGAGATGGGATTCTGCAATTGTTTGCTCGAAAATTTATCTACAAAATATTGTTCTGTTTTTCAGTTACTTTCTGCAAGTGTGTGGAAGATAGGTGTTTCCAGCCAGCAGGTCACATGCCTGGGATACCCACTGTGGGCATGACAGTTGGTATTCTCCTTACCACCATTTTGGTCATCGGTGAGTATAATTTCTCAGATTCAAGGATTTCTGTTCTGGGCCTTGGAAACATAAGCTCACATCAGGGTCTGACTTCATGGACTGGTGTGGGGCTGCTCAAATGGCAGTCTAGGCAATAACCAAGAATATAGGTCATCACTAAACCATATCCAACTTTCCTGATTGGGAGCTACTGCTTTAGTACCACCCTTTACCTATCACTGCCTTGCTGGTTAGTTTGGGAAATACAACATAAGAGGCTTTAAAGAATAAATTATTGTATTTTATGCCTAGTTACCAAGCTTTCATGATGAAGGAGAAAGAAATGCAGTAGCTGTGCCTCTGCTATGTGTCAGGCACTGTGCTTGGTGGGGAACACAGTGACAGATATACACAGATCCATCACTCACAGAGCTTATGGTCTGGTCTACCATTGTTGGAATAGGTAGAAGCTAGCCTTCCAGTGGAGATGCTGGCATACCTGAAATGTTGCAGAACTCCCCTTTTTATGTTTTGTGACTGTGGGCCTTGATTCTTTATTATCTCAGAATAATTCCACTGCACCACAGGCCTCACTCTGCCATGGCCCCTGGCCTGGCTAGACAGCAGAGTTCCCTGTCTTCTTTTTTGTAAACAGCTCAGTGCCTACTGTAGTCCTTACCCTCTTTCAACTGGTGTCTTCACCACAAGTTAAGTATTAGAAGTAGATACTTCTTCTGCCCATTTTTAAATTGAGTTGTTTGTTTTTTGCTGTTGAGCTCCATGAGCTACTTGTATTTCACCAAAGAAGACATATAGGTGGCCAAGAGGCACATGAAAAGATGCTCAAAATCACTAATTATTAGAGAAATGCAAATCAAAACTACAATGAGGTATCACCTCACACGGGTCAAAATGGCCATCAACAAAAAATCTAGAAACAATAAATGCTGGAAAGGGTGTGGTGAAAAGGGAACCCTCTTGCACTATTGGTGGAAATGTAAATTGATACAACCACTATGGAGAACAGTATGGAGGTTCCTTAAAAAACTAAAAGTAGAACTACCATATGACCCAGCAATCCCACTACTGGGCATATACCCTGAGAAAACCATAATTCAAAAAGAGACATGTACCACAATGTTCATTGCAGCACTATTTACAATAGCCAGGACATGGAAGTAACCTAAGTGTCCATCAACAGATGAATGGATAAAGAAGATGTGGCACATATATACAATGGAATATTACTCAGCCATAAAAAGAAATGAAATTGAGTTATTTATAGTGAGGTGGATGGACCTAGAGTCTGTTACACAGGTTGAAGTAAGTCAGAAAGAGAAAAACAAGTACTGTATGCTAACGTATATATATATGGAATCTAAAAAAGAAAAAAATGGTACTGATGAACCTAGTGGCAGGGCAGGAATAAAGACGTAGACACAGAGGATGGACTTGAGAACACAGGGTGGGGAGGGGGAAGCTGGGGTGAATTGAGGGTAGCATCGACATATGTACACTACCAAATGTAAAATAGATAGCTAGTGGGATGCAGCAGCATAGCACAGGGAGATCAGCTCAGTGCTTTGCGACGACATAGAGGGATGGCATAGGGAGGGTGGGAGGGAGGCTCAAGAGGGAGGGGATATGGGGATATATGTATGCATATGGCTGATTCATTTTGTTGTACAACAGAAACTAACACAGCATTGAGGAGCAATTATACTCCAAAAAAGATGTATTAAAAATAAAAAGTAGATACTTCATCAATTCACCTGTGTAAAGGGGTGTATACAGTTCCACATCCTTTCTCTTTTAAAGGAAGAGCTGGGATTATTCTAAGTCTTCTTAATTGCTCTCTTGGCATCTGGTCTTTTCTGCCACCATCCAGTCTACCACATTGGACTCTGATTCACAGCTCTAAAAGGGATCTCATTTCCTTATACCCTTCCATTCGAATTCCTCATTATTATGACATACAAGGGCCTTTGTGACATGACCATTACGCATCCTAATATTGCATGGTGACCATCATTTCTCTTTGAGAACCACAGTTTGGTGCACACCTTTTATAGTAATTGAGCTGGCGTTTGAGGTTTACTCACTTATCAAACTCCCCTCTACCTCTATGCCTTTTCTTATTCTATTCGTCCTCTCATCTTGAAAGGACTTTTGAGTTTTTATGCCATCGTTTTCGAACATGACCATTTACTCTCATAATTTTACCACAAGTTAAAGATTGGATGAGTTTGGTGACCTAAAGATAGAAATAATAGGATCTTGTAGTTTCATATCCTTTTTTCAAAATAGGAGGGTTGGGATTATTGCAAGATTATTAACAGGCTTCTGAGCATCCAGTCTTTTTTGCCATGATTCCTCTTGTAAACTTACTGCCAGGTTAATTTCTTAAAAACAACTTACTTTTCCAGATAAGTCTCTGATTTATAGTATACATTTAGTGCTAAAATGCACAATGTAATTTTGTAGTAGGTCAGAGATGGGGGAAACCAGAGAGGTTAGGTAGTCTACTCAAGCTGGAGCGATGAGGAAGACGGCAAAGAAAATGTAATACTCGATGTGGACATGGTGAAAGTAGGCTTTAGGTAGGTGAATTGGTCTAAGAACAGCTTTCTGGTTTTTCTCATTGGACTACTTCCTCTAGGGAAGAGGAAGAAGAACTGGAATCAACATTTATTGACTGTGTCTGAAGTTCAGGAATTCTGTCTGATGCTCACACAGTCTTCAGGGTAGTGTAGGCATTAAGTCCTATATTCCTTGATAGAGACCCAGCGATAGCCACCAGCTTCGATATGACTTGGGACTTGTTACATACTTAGTGACAACAAGATAAGTGGTAAGCTTACTTATCCAAGAAAGCCCACGCCTAGAATCTCTTAATCACCAGGACAATGAAACTTTGTTGAACCACAAACAAAAATGAAATTATATGAGTCATTTTTTCCTATGCAGGTGCTACTTTATAAATGAATGTGACAGTACATTTTAAGACTCCATCTATTTGACTTTGAATTTTCTCTTTTAGGTATAATTTTAGCAGTCGTGTTCTTCCAGATAAAGAAGAATAAAGGCCAACATAATGTTGAAAGTGCTCAGGCATCTGAAGTCAAGCCTCTGAGAAACTGAATGTGAAAAGGAATGTTTGAGTCCATGTACCAAATGCTATTTCAGTAACACAACCATTTAATCCCATAATTTTGCTTTTCAGCCAACATGTGCACTATAATTTTTTACGATATACCCTCTCACCCTTTACTATTTTATTACTCTTAGATATTTCATGTGCTGTAGACATTAGAGATATTTTCCATTTTCTCATGACACTTTTCCACTCTGCAAAAGCCTTAGCTATGTATCCAAACACAAAAATGTATGTGCTTTTCCCCCTTAGGGAGAGAGGGGCTGATGAGATACTCTGTTCATTTTTTCTTCATTAAGAGATCTATCAGTCATCCATCACAGCACATCCTGGATTCCATTTATGCTTTTTCTAATTCCATCCCGTGTCTCCTTCCTCCATATCTCCTTTGGTATTTCACTAATTTTAAAACATTTGTTGGAGGAAAGAACAAAGCTAAGTCTCAGGAAAAAAATTAAAGCGCAGACCTGTCCCTTAGTTTGAACAGAAACTTTTTGTTGTTATTAGCCTCCTTTAGCCCCACGTGGCTTATGTTGCTTTTCGTTGGAGGATTTTGCACTTGGGAACAGCATGAGACCACTGCAGACCATGCAGAGGCCTGCTTCATAAACCCTGGGGCAAACACCAGCCACTAACCGTGTTTACTCACTACCTACCATGCTCACATGCTGCGCATGTTTTCTTTATGTGTATATTAATAAAGTTTCGGTTATTATATATTTAACAGTAGAGGAAGATAAGGAAGCACAAAAGATGTAGTGACAAAAATCAAGAATAAACATTGGCTTTGGTTTTGTTTCTTGGATCTCTTTGTCTCTGCTTCCTGGTTCTCTGCATTTGTTGAGGGAAGGACTAGATAACAATGGTTATCTATCATTTATCAAAATTGCCTCCCATGTAGAATTAACCCATAAAGAGGGGGTCCACAATGACATAAAAATTCCCTGTGCTCATGACTGTGGATTGGGGTGTCCAAGGCAGGTACACTAGGAATTTTAAAATTTTAAATAAGAAAACCTTAGAGATTTGGAAGCATTTCGAGGCCCTGAGCTGTTTTCTGGCTTCTGATTTGAGGCTTGAAAGCATTCAGCATTACACAGCCTCTCAGAATTGTCAAGAATTTTGGGGAAAACAACTTGTATCTGCAAATGTGCTCCTACAATGACGGCTGAAGCAGGCCATGGAGCTCTGTTTTTCATAAATAATCCTCTTTGAGGGCTTTTATTATATTTTTTAAAGGCAAAAAAGTAAAACAAAAGAAAATATCCGAACTCTATTTCTAAGACCTCAGTATTACTTTCTTGTATTGATACAATGTTATCCTTTGCTTCAGGATAACATTGAGCTCTTTTGCCTGTTTTTTTTCCCACACAAGGCTCATCGGAAATCTCATAATGGGCGAGGTTCTCTCTTGTCTCACCATATGCTGAAAGACAAAACAAGAAAACAAAAATCTAAGAGCACCAACAGCAAATTATATCCCAACCTAAGGAATGGTTTAACTTTCTCAGCAACTTCTATAGGTATTTTCTTGTGTGTTTTTGACCAAGAGTGACTGTAATATGACATTTAGTTCACTTAAAATTGCATCATTGCTAGCCCTGTTTATTTTCCGGAAAGCACTTTATCATTCCTGAAAGACTGAGGCAGTCCCAAGGCAGGTCTGCTCAGAGGGCTTAGGGATGCCTCCTGCCTCAGTTCAGGGTTGTTCTCTCTGGACCAACTTGTATCACCTAATAATAGACTGATCACACATAACCTTCTCGTCTAAAATCACTGATTAGATTAGTATTCACATTTCTTGTGCTGTTCTTCCTCTGGGTGGGCCTTCCCTCTAAACCTTCTCTTCCTTCCATGACCAGATCCCACCCATTCCTAAAGGCTTGAAGACCAATTTATAGACTGGTCCCTTTGGGAAGGCTTCTCTTAGGAAACTACAGGGTAGCAGGCCACTACCTCATCTAAACTTCTGTACTGTGGTGAGGAAAATTCTAGGATCTATTCCCTCTTCTGGTAAAGATGGTTCCATTTCCACTGGAAAACATCTTCCCCTCCCCTTCACCTGGCTCTTCTACACCTAGTCTGTATAGTTTGAGTAGAGTCAACTTCCTGTTTTCCCCCATCTCCCCATCTCTCACTTCTAGAATTGTGTTGAAACTCTTAGAAAATAGCTCTCTTTAAGTGGAATTTGCTAAACGAGTAGAAAATAAACTCAGAGCATTCTAGTTACCACAAAAGGTAAGCCTACCCCAGAACAAGGACCACAGAGAGTTGAGAGAAGATTCTGAAGATGTTGAGTGCCTGGATCCAGCTGTGCCTGAAGGCAACCTTGCCCTGGACTTTCCTAACCTGTGAGCCAGTACATTCCTTATTACTTAAAGCTCAATATATTTCTGCCCTTGCAACCAAGAGTGCATATTTGTGCCTTGCTTATGGACCTTATGTTCTACAGTTAGAGCCCATTTGATCTCCCTAACTAGTCTGGGACTTCTTGGAATCCTCTCAATGTCTCTATGACAAGTCTTGGCTCATAGTAGCTCTTCTATAAGTCTTTTTTTTTTTTTTTTGTGGTACATGGGCCTCTCACTGCCGTGGCCTCTCCCGTTGCGGAGCACAGGCTCCGGACGCGCAGGCTCAGCGGCCATGGCTCACGGGCCCAGCCACTCCGCTGCATGTGGGATCTTCCCGGACTGGGGCACGAACCCGTGTCCCTTGCATTGGCAGGCGGACTCTCAACCACTGCACCACCAGGGAAACTCCTCTATAAGTTTTTGAATGAATACATGAAATAGCTGATTCATGTAGGCCACTTACGCTGTTGTCATCTTAGAGCCACCCACCTGACAAAATTGAAACTAATCTACTCTCTGTTTTTAGTTACAGTATCCTCAAAGAGGTCTTAAACTCCCACTTCACT